ATTTAGTAGTCCTCGAGACGATAGTATTCCAATGTGATATTGCTGTGGAACACTACAATCACCCCTTCTTGGTTGTAACATTCAATGAAATATAAAGCTGAATAGCTATACTTATTTGATTTTTTTTCTCACTAGTGCTGTTTTTGAGTTATTTATGGGACCATTTCCAATTTTCATTGCGTCAAAATCTCACTCGTACATTTCGTCCGAATCATCCGAACTGATAGATATGAAGACGAGTCTCCAATCCATGCGTATTGACAAAATTCGGCAAGCTTGTTCTGATACATGTATCTCAAACCCACCTTAGATCTTTCTTCCAAACCCTCCTCACAATCGAAATCACCGAAATGCAACTTATCCTTCAAATGCTCCTTAAGTTATGTTATCGAACCAAGCTAACAAACTTAAGTCAGGTGGTTTGGTGTAAGATACACCGATTATGTTTTCACCCTAGCCTCATTTAGTCGAGTTTGAGTTTGTTCCTTATTCAGTTTTATTTGGAGACTGAATATTTTGTTTTAAATGCTTCAGATTTTGCATTGAACGGTTTTGATTTTTTTTTTATTTTTTTTCAATATCACTTTTGTGGTTGAGTCTCTAGGCATCGAATTAGAAGATACAATATGTATTTGGTAAGCAACATAATCTAGCTTATAACTTATTTAGTTAACTATAAGATTCATGTATTTAAATAAGCTTGGTTCAGTAGGATGGTTTTTTTTTTTTTTTTTATTTTATTTTTTTAAAAGTTGAAATTTATCTCATAAGCTTCGTTAGGTGACTTTCTATATTAGCCGGTTGAAAGTTTTGTTTTGTCTGAGCTTATATCTTATAGCTTATTGCTTATGGATGAAAAATTAACTGGTATGATAAAAACGTTGGGTAAAATTAATTGAAAGTCAGTTGAAATAAAAAATTTCAACGGGTTTATACGAAAAGCTATCCAAAAAAGCTTAATGAAATAAACTCGAGCTTTTTAGAAAAACTCGTCTTCCTAAATCAAACTTATCTGTATACAGAAAGCTTATAAGCTAACCAAATAAACTATAAGATAGCTTATGGTGCTTCCTAAACACACTCTTCAGTTAACTCATCAGCTAATTTTACCAAACATTTTTATTATATCAGTTAATTTTTCAGTCATTAATCATAAGCCATCAGTTATAAACTCCAAATTTACTAATAAGCTACCAATATCAGCTAGTTTTTCAGCTAGGTTTATCAAAACATAGTCAAAATGTAATGAGGTAGCAGATATGCCTGTTTCTTTTTCCTTTTATAAAAGGATGACACATATATTGTCCGTGGACACGTATTATCTCCAAGATCTTTTCTCTTTACAGATAGACAGGTTTAACATTGGCCATTACAAAGTGATTTAGTTGTAAGAAAAATCACTTGCCGCCACTTTAATCACCTGTATATATGCTTTATCTGTAACTAACTTTAGATTCTCCGAACCACCCGTTTGCTATTTTTCAACCATATATATCTATTGTCGTTCAATGTGTTTCATTTTCAGATAATTTATCTTACTATATCCAAAACTTTTTGCTGTCTGGTCAACCCCACAATTTGTGGAGTGAATGGAGCCTACACTTCAGATTTTTGTTTGTTCATCTCACGTTGGGTACAATTATTTGCTTAATATTAGTAGTTGAAAGACTATTTTAATCCATTTTTGCCTACTCAGATACATGGCAAAATGAACACCAGTGTATACATGGTTAGGCTGGTACTGGTTAGAACATGAGTCGGTACGGTTCGGAGATTGAGAAATTTTCGGAATCGTAACAAAATTCGGAGATCACTAAATTTGATTTTCGGAACCATACTAAAAATTCAGAACGGTTCGGTTCGACGATTTTTATTTTCGGTTCGGTTCGGTTCGGTTCGGTATTTGGGACTATCGGAACGGTTCGGTTCGGATTTTCGAAGATTTCCATTTTTTTCTAATTTTTTTTTTTTTAATGACTACCTAATTATATTTTGATTTTTATATGCTTTAAGAAAAGCAATATTCATTAATACTTTATCATATTGAAGATTTCTTTTTTAAATCAACTTTAGAAGTAACTATAGGTTTTAGTTATTTAATATTTATATGCTTTAACCAAAAAATAAAACATTCATCAATACTTTCTCATAAAAAATTATGATTTGAAATCAACTTTAGAAGTAACTTTAAATTTTAGTTAAGATTGAATTTGTGCAACTAATATTGAAAATTTAAAATTCAAACAAAATAATATTTTTTTCTTAAAAAATATTTTTATCCTTTCATACCATTTTAAATAATTTTTTTATAGCATGAAATATTCAATTATAGATCAAGTATTACTAAAGGCATCTACATCGCCCTTTTTTCACATGGGTTTAAATGGCCCCCGCGTTCATCCGGATGTGGCTCGTTCATTTAAGGGGGGCCCACTTTAATGTTCAATGGTTTGAACGCCGCGTTCATTCTTTTTTTAATTTTTTTTTTAAATCTTATTTTATTTTGTCCATGCGTGCATGCTTTTTCTTTTTTTTTTTTTGGTTTGAAATAATTATTTCTTTGTCTTTTTTCTTTTTATTTTTATATTATTAATTTACGTTATTTTGGCTTGTAGTGTTTTTCATTTTCATGTATTTAAAATTTATTGTTATAATATAAAAAAATATTTTTATGGTGAATATAGTATAAAAAATTATATTGAATGATTGGATAATGGGTCCTACATATGTATTTAAATGAATTAGTATGAATGTAGGTGTGTCTTTAAATGGAGAGAGATTTGTGGAAAAATGATGTGAATGAGAGAGAGTGTTGCTTTTTGATTGAATGAATGACTTTTGTGTTAAGCGTTGTGGATGCCCTAAGAATGAAACTTAAAATAAAGCTTATTTATTATTACTATATTTTATTTGCATTTTAAATTTTTTTGAATTATATAGGATCAAAGTTGACATAAAGTATATTCATAACACACATCTAATGTTATAATTCGGTTCTGCGGTTCAGTACGGTATGAGACGGTTCGGTTATCGGTACGGATATTTGTGAAATCTCCAGAACCGTACCAATTATCTTTTCGATTCGGTTCGGGAAAATTCAAATAGTCAACGGTTATTTTTCGGTTCGATTTTCGGAACGGTACGGAATTCTCCGAGTCCCATGCTCAGTCCTCCTGGTAGACAAATAAGCTAGTTTATAGCTTATTTGATTAGTTTATAAGCTTCCTGTATTCAAATAAGCTCCGTTTGGTAGGACGAGAATTTTTTAAAAAGCTGGAGCTTATATTATATTACCTCATATTCTTTTTAAATGTCATTTGACATTATCAACTATTAACAAAATAAATGTTGTTTTGGATATTTTGTACATATTTTTTCATTATTACCCCCATCTACCTAATAAATACACTATGTCTTTTCATATTCATTCTTCATTTTTTTCCAAAACATTCATCTCTATCCTCATTAATGAGGGTTATTATTAGCAAAAAAAATATTTTTAATAACTGTGCAACTTTTCAAAACGACAAATATTATGTATAGGAGGGAGTAACTTCTTTGTTAGCTTTTCAAATAAGCTCGTTGAAATTTTTATTTCAACTAGCTTATCAATTAATTTTACCAAACACTTTTATCATATAAGTTAGCTTAACAACTATAAATCAAAAACTATAAGGTAAAAAATTATCGATAAACTATAAACTAGCTCATCAGCTAGTTTTATTAAACATGCATTTAGTTCATTGCAAACAAATAGATGAAATAAATAGTGGAGTTCTACATTTTGGGGCTCTTATTTCAGTATCCGGCCCTGTTTAAGCTTCTCCTCAAAATAAAAAAGAAGGGGGCA